ATTTTTCGCGGCCGCGACCTGCGAATCGTGACAGCGATTTTTGGCATTTTTGGGTCCGCGATTTGTGTATTTTTAAAAAAAAAGAAAAAGAAAGCACACACCGTCGGGGAATAAAAACAAACCAGGGGAAAATGGGGAATAAAAAAACTCTAAAACCCGAACCTCTTTACTTTTAACTTTTAGAAAGAAAGTTTATTTTCACTTTCGCTTCACTTCGTCTCTTACTCACTCGTTGACATTGAGTTGATTTATTTTCATGTGAAGAATATAAGTACTTTGCATAGCCTACTATTTACATTGCTGGTTCTCTTTCATTTTCCTCTATGTTGTGTTTTAATTTGTTGGTGTGTTAATTGTTTTCTTGTCATTGTTCTGATGTGTTGTTTTCAATTTTTGTGTTTATACATACAAGCGTAGTCATTTAATTTGGTACATGTATAATGTATAGTTCTTACCTTTTTTAAATACATGTATGTGGTATGTTAGAGCGTGTCTCCACCAAAACCGAATACAGTGGAGTCCACTTATAACGAGAAGTCTGTTATAATAAAGACACAATTCTAAAACCCCGTTTTTTTCTCCTCTTTACCTTTGTAAATAAAATACTGTTATTAGAGGTACCACAAGCGAAAATGTTTTTGAACAATATTGACGTTTAAACCTCATGGGTTCAAATCTACTCTATGAAACAAGAACATTAAAAAAAAGAATTATCAAAATCCATCAATAAACAATCGAGATATAATGGTATTTCAAAGTTTTATTTTTTAAACGAAACCTTTTCAACTGCGACTTTCACCCATGTTTGAGGTGTTATAAAATACAAAGTGCATGATCAAATCAATGAAAACTTTGTTTTTCCCAGAGCTGTCAACACAAATATTGATATCTCTAAATCAAAGCATGTTAGAATGACTGGTTTCCAAGATATAGGCCTTCAAAAATTGAAAAAAAATGCTAAAATTTGTCATTAAGAGCTCAGAACCCTATTTTAACCTCTTCCAAATTAGTCAAAATTGCCCCCTCATTAGTGAAAATCACACAATCATTACAAATACATGCATAGACTTGGCTGAATTTTTTTCAGACCTCTCTGACCATAAGTAACTTTTCTGGACTCCTCTGAAGTGGGCTTCGGTGCAAAAAACGCCTCTTGGAAAAAAATTAGGGGAACTCTGGTACATCCTCGGGCAAAAAGCATCACAACAAGTGAACAAATTAAGCTACAGGGCTAAATCATACATCAAATTAAAGCTCAATGCAAGGTCTACGGGGCCAAATAAAAATTGTTTACTAAAACCTCTCATAACACTCCATAATAGGGCCCTAATGCCCAAAAAACCTGCCATTATTGGGTGAAAATTATAACGTCTGCCGACTGGAAAAAAATTCATATAAAATCAACAAATTGTGCTACAAGGTTGCACTATATATCAAATTAAAGCTCTTTTCAGGCTCTGTACAGTGAATTAGTTTATAGAAAGAAAAAAACCTTCCAAACATTTCAGATATGGACAATAATGTGAAAAAAGTCATCAATATTGGTTCCGAAAATAAAGATTTCTGCTCAGGGGGTTTAAAAATTGGAATTATATCAACATACTGTTCTCTACCGAGGTTCATCTTGTATAATATAGATCTAGTTCTTAGATTTATTTATCATTTTAGCTGAGAAAGAAACCAGTGGCTGGGGAAATACAATGTATCATCGTGTGTCCAGTAAGTGGATGGGAAGAAAGAGGGGGGGGGGA